GTGGCCCTAAAAACAGTTCTGGGGCCCTCATAACAATTCTCTGGCACCATTAACAATTCTGCTTTTCCCGAGTAAAAAAATTCTGGGGCCCTAACTAGCTTTTCCTTTGGCCCTAAGTAACGATTCCTGGGGCCCTCATTAACAATTCTGTGCCCCTGATCATACTTCTCTGCCCCTAAGAAAATTTTTTTCTCTGCCCCCAAAAGGTAACGTTTCTGTGGCCCAAACCCCTTTTTCCCAAATACAGAGGGGTTTTGCCTCTTTGAATGACTGGGGGAAAAGAAAAATTTTCTAAAATGGCCAAAAATTTATAGCTCGACCATTACACGGGTGCGGCCCGGGGCTGGCTGCTGTTTTGGCTAATGCGATCAAAATTCCTTTAAAGGGAAAACCCATTAGGGGGTCAGCGCCCCTTTTGTTTTGCGCCCTTCCCCCCACTTTTCCCCAAATCCGTCGCCGCAAAATTCCCCCCGGGCCTTTTTTGGGAAAAAAAATTTCTTTTTGGGCTTGCGTCCGAAGTAGGCTTTTTTTTTGGGATTGGGCACAAATTTCAAAAATTTTTCCAATTTCGACCCGAATTCCCCCTTCGCCTATTTCGATTCCTCATCTAAAGTTTTTGACATTTTGATTGGGAAAGGGAAAACGTGTACTGATTGCTGGGGAAATTGCTGTGAATTACGTACCTGAGGATCCCATGTCGGGTTTGCAGTAAAAGGTTGAAAAAACTTAACTGAAAATTTTCCCTATCTAACTAGAAAACCCAAAATTTTTTTGAATGAATGAACTACAACTACCATCAGCACTGCAGGCGACAGGCTTTTAGTCCTCAATAAACTGCGAGAACGTTGGGGAGCGCTCTCGTAGTTCACTGTTTATCCTGCAATTCAGCAACTGCCTGCCCATATGGGAGGTAGGGGCAGACAGTGTAGTGAGTGCCTGTAGGAGCCTGGCTTTATACCAATGATCTGCTGATTGTGGGTGCAATGCTTTACAGGCTCCAGTGATTAGCAAATAATAAATGCACATTTTTTTACCTGCAATAAGATTGTGCATTCATTATTTTTTTTCATTCAAAAAGGTGAACTTATTCTTTAATACAGTCCACTGGGTCTCTTGTGAATATAAAGAATAGTGTATTAAAAAATAGGGTATTGCCAGCCTGCAACTTGCATCTTGGTGAAAAAAATAATCACCAGGGGAATTACATCCATTGATTTTTAATATAAAGGTATAATAAAACATAGCATCTCTCCTGAAAGATTGTCTCCTGTTAAAGAGCAAAATTCAGAAATCTATATTATCTCTTTAATACATTTTTTTTGTGGCTTTTTCTGTTCCTTTTACATATCTTTTTCACTTTTTCATATACTGATTTTTTTTTCTCTTATTGGTACAAGTAGACATTTATGTTACTTACATAAATACAAGCTAACATGCCAAACAGACTTTTCTGAAATTCAGTAATGTGTTACAATCAAACAAAAAACTTCTTTCACTGATTGATCTACAGTAAACTGCAGTCTGATTCATTACTACGGCTTATTGAGTAGAGTGACAGTTATATATTTAGCTCCCTTTTGGGTTATCTTTATTTTTTGTTTCTTAGTTTTAAAAAAAGCAGCCACACATTCAAAATGAGAACGAGTTTAAGTACCAGATGCCAATCTGTTTTTGAATGCATTTCCATACAAACATACATTAACATAATAGGAAAACACAACAAATTAGCAATAAGATGATTAATAATATTAACCTCTTGCCGACCGCGCATAGCCGAATGACGGCTTCACCGCGGCCGGCCAGTTCTGAGTGGACGTCATATGACGTCCTCCCAGAACGCGCTCTCCTGCGCGCCCCAGGGGGCGCGCACCCGGCGATCTCCGTGATCGCTGTGTCCTACGGACACAGCTGAACACGTGATGTGGTGAAAGGCCGATCCCACCGGCCTTTTACCACGTGATCAGCGGTGTCCAATGACACGCTGATCACAGGGAAATGCAAGTGCCGGTTCTCGGCTGCACTTTCCTCACGCTGTCAGATCGTGAGGAAAGTACTGCCGAGAACCGGCAGTTGTCAGAGCGGGGATCGGCACCGATCATCAGGGCACTGATGATCAGTGCCCTGATGATCAGTGCCCAGCAGTGACACCCGCAAGTTCCGCCCAGCAGTGCGCCCACACTAGCCCCGCCCACCCGTTCCCAGCAGTGCCCCCACCTGTGCCCAGCAGTGCCCCCACCTGTGCCCAGCAGTGCACCCACCTGTGCCACTCTGCAGTGCCACCTACCTGTGCCCAGAAGTGCCACCTACATGTGCCCAGCAGTGCCACCCACCTGTGCCCACCCACCTGTGCCCACCACCACCCACCTGTGCCACCCACCCTGTGTGCCCACCCACCAGTGCCGCCCACCAGTGCCACCCACCAGTGCAGCCCACCAGTGCCGCCAGTCAGTGCCACCAGTCAGTGCCCAGGGGTTGTGCCAGTCAGTGCCGCCAGTCAGTGCCCAGAAGTGATGCCAGTCAGTGCCGTCTATCAGTACCCATCATCAGTGTCACCTATCAGTGCCGCCTATCAGTGCTGCATATCAGTGCCGCCTATCCGTGACCCCTAATTAGTGCTGTCTATCAGTGCCGCCTATCCGTGCCACCTCATTAGTACTGCCTATCAGTGCCCTTTAGTGCTGCCTATCAGTGCCCATCAGTGCCGCCTATCAGTGCCCATCAGTGCCGCCTCATCAACGCAAATCAGTGAAGGAGAAAAAATACCTGTTTGAAAAATTTTATAAAAGAAACAAACTAAACTTTTTTTTTTTTTTTTCAATTTTTTTTGCACTTTTTTTAATTTATAGCGCAAAAAGTAAAGCGCCCAGTGGCGATTAAATACCACCAAAATAAAGCTCTATTTGTGAGAAAAAAATGATCAAAATTTCATATGGGTACAATGTTGCATGACCGCGCAATTGTCAATCAAAGTGCGGCAGCGCTGAAAGCTGAAAATTGGCCTGGTAAGGAAGGGGGTATAAGTGCCTGGTAGGCAAGTGGTTAAAAATATTACATTTCTCAAAATTTATTCTGCTGGCAATATGCTCAGTTTACCCGCGTGATTTAAATGTGGAAAAGAAAGAACTCCTCATGCACGGACCTCGGCTATCCCTGGCCATCCGCTTGCCTGCTCCCTTGTACTTGATCTGCTCGCCTAATACTGACCCGGCTTGTCTGACTCTGCTACATCTACTTACCTGCACCTGCATCTGGCTTGCATCCTGACGGCAGCCATACTTACCTACCGCTGCACCCACGGTCCTGCAACCGGCCTGCATCCTGGTCACAGCCATACTTACCTGCCGCTGCACCCACAGTCCTTCAACTGGCCTGCATCCTGGTCACAGCCATACTTACCTGCCGCTGCACCCACGGTCCTGCACCCGGCCTGCATCCTGGTCACAGCCATACTTACCTGCCAATGCACCCACAGTCCAGCACCCAGCCTGCATCCTGATTGCCACCATACCTGCCTGCTGCTGCACCTACATTCCTGTATCTGCACCTGGACTGCATCCGGATCTCCTGGGTCTTCACCTACCTGTCGTCAGCTCCAGATCTACCCGGCACTCATGCCACTCCTGGCTCTGTGCCCTCTGTTCCCACTATTAGGGGCTCCAAGCTGGAGTCGTAAGAGGACGCCTTCTCTCCACATCAGGCTCCCCAACCAGATACATGACAGGGGCATGTTGAAGACACTCATTAGAAACGAAGAAGCCACTTTTGTATATGGCGAAACTACTTTAACTTTACAGAACATATCCAGTTGAATGTGACAAACCACTGCTACCCCAGCTACTTCATGGCTAGCCTACTAATAGCCAAGACCTGGTTAAATGAAAACCTTCACAGGCAAACTATGCCCATTCTTCCTCAAAGCATCAAAGCATTTGTCAGTAAATAGGGCAATTTTTAACCTGTAAACACATGTCACCATTTTGTAAGTTGATTGTTGATTTAGCCACTTTTAGAAAGCAAAAGATGCTGATACCATAGGTGAGGTAGCATAGAGCAGAAGAATAAGGCCAGTATGAAATGTGCAACCATTCAGCAGGTAGGCCGTGGGGGAGATGTACTAAAACTGGAACACTCAAAATCTGGTGCAGCTGTCCATGATAGCCAATCAGTTTCTAACTTCAGCTTGTTCAATTACGTTTGACAATAAAACCTGGAAGCTGATTGGTTTCTATGCAAAGCTGCACCAGATTTTGCACTCATCACTTTTAACAAATCTCCCCCTAAGACTGTTGAAAGTTAAAATGCTCATGAATGCCTGAAGTGTATCTGAATAAATAACACTGATGATGCATTAGCTTAAGAACAATATAAAAGTACCAATACATCCTAAAAGCTTAGAAGATATATACAGAAAGCAGGAATAAGTTATTTTTTCAAAGATAAGTGCACATTTGAATTACTAAAAATTCACCATCTTCTGTAGCAAATTAAGTAAATATTAGTGAACACCTCTGTTGTAAAAAAAATAATCTTAAAGCAATTTGTAAAGTGCAGCAGCATCATGACATTTGGCATCTTACACTGGGCTGAGAGTATAAGGATAATAAAGAAAATAAAGAAATACAGAATGGATTTTTTATCTGGACTCGATTTTCCACTAGGTTAATGCACTTTAGCAAACATCATGGATTTACAACCTGGACCAGGCAGTGGGACTGAGGGTAAAAAAAATGATTTTATATTAGAAATAATGAAAAGTCTTTTATTTTAGAAATTGTCTGGACAAAGAGATGATTTTTTTAAATATGCAGGACAATTGATGAGACAAATTTTGAGTAGTAAGGTCTGATCAAGAGAGATTTCAGAGGACCTCATGAGAAATCATTGTTAAAGCTGACTGAGAAACTGAAAAAGTCCATTTGTTGTTGAGATCTTACATGATAAAAGCAAAACCTCATCCCAACCATGAAGTGCAACAATGATTTGAGGCAGCATTTCTGGATTGGGCATGGGCACCTTGCAATAATTTGGGGACCAATGAATTCCATCCAATTTATTTCAGGAATTTCTACAGCAAAATATCTAGGCATTATCTGTGAAGAATAACTCAAAAGAAAGTGAATCATACCATATGAAATTGATCCAAAAAAGAATTCAACAGCTCATTGATTCCAACAGAACCGATTTCAGTTAAACTGAAAATGCTATGATATGGAAAATATATAGGAAATTACAGTTGTGCGTATAGGAATGAGCCAGCTGTCATCATAACTGCTGCACAGGTATGATCAGCTGTGAAAATAGTTTGAGGTTTTGTCCACCAAAATTATTTACTGCAGATCTTAATGAAATTTAGGGACCATGGATGCATAAAAAATATTTTAACATATATATTAGGGATCCCTTTAAATCAGAATTACACCACTGATTTAATAGTATATACCAAAACATTTAAATGCAAGGTATACCATGAATTAAAAATGGTGCAGTTACTAGTGCTAATGTGAGCTCTCAATAAAACTGTCAAGTATCAAATGGATGATGTCATAGCTGATGATGTGTGTAGCACCATCACAACTGCAGATAAAACAATGAGGGGTGTAGCCTGGGAAGAGAAATTCTGTAGCCCACCTTTCACAATGGGACTGGGCTGACTGTTGGCATGCAGCTACCCACTTACATAGGCAGTTATAGCGAGCCTGGGCGAGCTCGTACTGGATGCTGGTATATGCTTGCAGTTGAGCCACTGGAGTGGTGCTCCATGGGTTTTTTGGGGGTTTACATACACTATATTGCCAATAGTATTTGGATGCCTGCTTTTACACGCACATGAACTTTAATGGCATCCCAGTCCTAGTAGAGTTCAATATTGCATTGGCCCACCCTTTGCAGCTAAAACAGCTTCAACTCTTCTGGGAAGGCTGTCCACAAAGTTTAGGAGTGTGTCTATGGGAATGTTTGACCATTCTTCCAGAAGTGCATTTATGAGGTCAGCCACTGATGTCATCCCAAAGGTGTTCTATCGGGTTAAGGTCAGGACTCTGTGCAGGCCAGTCAAGTTCCTCCACCCCATACTTGCTCATCCATGTCTTTATGGACCTTGCTTTGTGCACTGGTGCGCAGTCATGTTGGAACATGAAGGGGTCATCCCCAAACTGTTCCCACAAAGTTGGGAGCATGAAATTGTTCAGTCAGATAAGTACTGTTCTCCTGGCAACTGCCAAAGGCAGACATGTCCATTGGATTGCCAGACAGAGAAGCGTGATTGGTCATTCCAAAGAACATGTTTCCACTGCTCTAGAGTCCAGTGGTAGCGTGCTTTACACCACTGCACCCGACGCTTTGCATTGCCCTTGGTTATGTAAGGCTTGGATGCAGCTGCTCTGCCATGGAAACCTATTCCACGAAGCTCTCTATGCACTGTTGTTGTCCTAATCTGAAGGCCACATGAAGTTAGGAGATCTTTAGCTATTGACTCTGCGGACAGTTTGGCGACCTTTGCGCACTGTGTTCAGCACGTGCTGACCCCATTCTGTAATGTTACGAGTTGCTGTTATTCCCAGTTGCTTCCACTTTATTATAATACCACTAACAGTTGACACTGGAATATTTACTATCAAGGAAATTTCACGGATGGACTTATTGCACAGGTGTTAACCTATCATGGTACCACGCTTGAATTCACTGAGCTCCTGAGAGCGACCCATTCTTTCACAAATGTTTGTAGAAGCAGTCTGCATGCCTAGGTGCTTGATTTTATACAGCTGTGGCCATGGAGGTAATTGGAACACCCAAATCCAATGATTTGGAGGGGTGTCTTAATACGTTTGGCAATATAGTGTATGTTAAGATGGCAGTGTCTTTGTCCCTATAGGATAGGAAGGTTTAGTTCTGCTTTAAGTTGTATAGTTATTTTTCTGTCGAGCTCTTAGCAACAGCTATTCTTTTTCCCACCGAATAGATTGTGGAAGGAAGTTGCTTGAGGCTTCATGAATGTGACAGTTAACAGTTGGTGCTTGACTGTGAGAAGAATATGAGCTTTGTTTTATATATATGTATATATATATATATATATATATATATAACAGTATATATAATGTATATACTAGTTTCACACCTTAACTCTGTCCCTTGGTCACTAAAATAACCCAAACGTACTGTGCTTGTGTGCTTCATCAATACCCTTCTTTTATTGATGACAAATCATAAGAAAACAATGCACTCGCATGTTCCCAGTGTATAACCACCTCATTGTGGCAGGCAGTTATACACTGGGAACATGTGAGTGCATTGTCTTTTTTATGATTTGTCATCAATAAAAGAAGGTTTTTTGCTAGGGGTGCGCTTCCCTTGTTTTTTCTTTTTATTACTAAATGCATGGTCTTGAGACGTGCCAAGTGCCATGCCATCTTTCTTCCATAACGTAAAGTGTGAGGATCTTCT